AAAAAAAAGAAAGAAAAAACTAACTTATTCTCTCTCTCTCTCTCTCTCTCTCTCTCTCTCTGTCTGTCTCTGTGTCTGTCTGTCTCTGTGTCTGTCTGTCTCTGTGTCTGTCTCTCTCTGTCTCTGTCTCTCTCTCTCTCTTTCTCTCTCCATATGATAACTTGGTTATACTCGAGAGCGTAAACGCTTGAAATTTAATGAGCAGATAAATAATTATCACGAAACAAATGTGTTGAACCGGTTGAACGCGCGTTGACTTCTCGCTCTGGTGAACGACGCGTTTTACGACACGATGAATTAGACGTTTACATTCGCCACGAAGAAACTCGCGTACATCCGCTAAATTATTTAGTTGCTCTTGCGAAAAGACATCAAAACCGGATACGTGTCTGAAACTCGTTCAAACTTGGATTTTACACTCGTCGCTTGTGAATGAAACGTATCTCTCATAGACGTGGATTAATAGGTCTCTGAAGCGAGGTAAAGTAATATCGTCTGAAATTCAATGAGAATTTCCATTCTTCAGTTTTGATCTCCTTTTCTTATCTCCTTCCTCTCGAATAAATATAAAATACGAAGAAGCTGGCCTGAAAACGCGAATCACGTTTAAAAAAAAACCTTGATATTTGATGAAAAGGGTTTATTATTCCCTTCGAAATAAGAAGCTTTCTTTGGCGTGTGTGTTTCCTTGCCGAAATTGCTTTCAATTAGAGGATATTGCCTCTTCTTCTGAAATGGCAATTGTTCGAGATTGAACTGTTAAATTTTGGAAAGAAATTTCCACGTGGAAAGGAAATTTCTCTTAGCAATATAGACGTCACGCAAGATATCGATATATTCTTGGCATCTGTCCGATTTTCGTCAATCGAGAAATGGTGGACGAGTTCTACCGAGGAATGCATAATACTTGTTTCGTTAATAATAAACGAGCGACATTTTGGATCTGCTTCTATTCATTATTTCCTAGTAAGGCAAGAAATAGTACGCGTGTTATTTACGTAGTCGGTTCAAAGAGTTAAAACGTGCCGAGCGTAGTACAATTTGCCCACGCCCACAAAACTCTAAATTTGTTCCGCGGATTCTGTAGAATGATTCATAAACGATTCGTGACTATAGTTTCGAATCTACGCTAAAATGAGAATAAAAAAAAAAAAAACATATATCTTGCATGTGTATCTTCCAAGTTTTCCAAGTTAGAAGACAGTTTGAAGAAAATAAAGAAATAAGTAATAAAAATTTCCTACATGCATAAATGCATATCTTGGTTATCGATGGTTATAAATGAGTTAAAGAAAAAAGTGGATATCTCTTACGTATTATTTCTCTACTTTAAAGATTCTTATATATATATATACACATGTGTACAATTTTAAGAGTGCATAAAGGTATGGTTGAAATAAATTGAGGAAATAAAAAAAGAAAAAAAAAATCTTATCACTTTTCAGACTTTTCAATTTCTTACAATTTTTCACAATAGAATTTACTCGAATACGCTTGATATTAAAACAATAACAAAGTTCGTTGAATATTTATGAAAACAAATGCAATAATGATTGATAATTTTCCTGTACAATGCTGCCAGGATTCGTGACAAATGTTCGAATAAAGGAGATCAAATATAATTGTAATGTCATCAACGCGACACGTTTCGAGCAAAATTCGAACGACAACATCTTCGACCGAGCTTTTCCACGCGTTTATTCTTTTTTCTTCTCGTTCCATTCGTTGGAACGTGCCTCGACTATCCGAAGAACCCACGCGAATTTCACAGGAATTTTCCTATTTCGTCCACGCGGTTCCACGAATCCCTCCACGTTATTTCGAGGTTCCCGTTCGAGATACACTATTCATGAGCATCTGGAAAGCATTTCTTCGGCTTCTATCTATTATTCGAATTTTATCAAATAACGTGCGAATTCACGTATATCGTGTGTTGGATCGATTTTATGGATCTTGTACACGCGTTCAGAATCAATCTAAATCTAAGCAAATTTGCTTACAATATGTATTTTAAATTATCAAGAAGACGCGCTTTTGGCAAATTTTTATTCTAAATAAATCATCATCGTAGCATATAATTTAGTGGTAAAAATTTCAAATGAATTCAGTGTGCGAAACGTACGCCACGGGATGTTAACATGTGAACGAAAGAAAGATTATTATTCGTTATTTTACAAAGTTAATACAAGTCAGAATTAAAATTTACATAATTTTATTATCTGCTGTAATGCACCAATGATACCGTAAAGGTAAAATTAAATGCATGATTCATATGTTATAATTTTATTATATTAACTCATATAATTTGATTATATATTACTTATAATATATTGGTGACACGTAGAGTTGCGTTAGAGTTAAATACGGAATTAAAATGATTCATCGGTTTTATATATGATAAATTACTTATCGGTGATTTGTTAATGATAATATTTAATATTATCGGCTGTTTTTGGCAGAATCTTATCAATTTACAAGGATTTTCTTTATATATAGATAAATATAATTAGAATTTGTATATTATCATGTAAAGTAGCAATAATATAAAAACGTATAATAAATACATATATATATATATATATTTAATTTTGTATAATTATAATTTATATAGATAGTTAATAAATTTTCTCATCGTAATATCACGAATTAATTTTAACGCATCGTGATATTTTTATTATTAAAGTAATTGCGGGTCCAATTTGATGCGTTCGTAATTAAAATACGTACTAAATATATAGTATACACGTGTCTCTATGTATGTAGCTATAGTTAGTTAACGAACATGTATAGTATACGCGTGTGTAATTTTCGAAACAGCTGTGGAACATTTTGGATCGCGATCGATCCGATTTCGAGGAAGAAGTGTGGATAAATTTTCGTAGAAAAGCATTCACCGGGTAACCTGTGCGCGTTGGCATCTGGTCAGGTATTAAAAGCAACAGTTGGCCGATATCATTACACGGCCACTGTTTCCTCCGCGTGTGCCCCTAACAATAGATCGATTCGTGGATCGTTAATGTTCGATTAACTCGATTATTAACAAGGAGGAGAAAGGCAAAAAGAGGAACGAATCCCAATGATTCTATTTATGCGTGTCATCTATTGAACAATCTCATAGAAAAAGCGAAACAAGGAAGCATTATTCTTGATAATTGAAAGAAATATTTAAACGTTTCTTCCTCTCGTGTTATTGTTCATCGATGCGCAAAATGATTTTCATGCATTATCTTGTAAGGAAATGGATTATATTAATCGATAAACCTTTTATATTTGCGCGAATATTCTCATCAATTTTTGAACCAAATGAATTTTCCACGAGATGGAATCCCTCGCTATTTCAGACAACACTCGATTCGATTGTGTTTCGTTCTTCCATTGTCGATCGTATGTATATTCAACCGTATATTTCACTGGATCTGGAGTTCTTAGTATTTACATTTAGTCCGTGTTATGCACGACATCGTACGCTTCCTTCGAATATAACGTTCCTACGTGTGCAAGTACAAGATGCACGCGACATAAATTCCAGTTACCAGTGGTTTCAACTAACATATTTCGTTGGTAGTCGTAGTCGACACCGGATGTGTGTTAACGCGAACACTTGATATTTAAATTGGATAGACTTTTCGTTTTATTTTTTTTTTTTTTTTTTTTACATTTTATTTAGATTATTAAATTGTACACGATCGTTTGAAATATTAGAGCTAGAATCGTATCGTATTTATCATTTATATTTATATTGGGTCAAATATTTGTAACATCCCATTTAATGAGATAAGAATGAAATAGTGTTTTGTAATTCGTTTTATTTCCTCGAACAAATTGACATCAGATCGTTTGTGAAAGTAATGAATTTAGAGGAAGGAAGAAATTTATGATGATCATCGTTGAAAATATTATTATTTTCTTTTCAAACGAATGGTAATTTTATTTTAGATAGTTAAAAAATAGA